ATGAATATGTGGCGGCAACTGACGGCAACACTGTCAGCTACTCCATGGCTACTAGAGTACATACAGGTCCGGTATAAGCCATGGAAAATAATAATTTAATGTTTTGATCGAGTTAAATAAAATATCAAAATTAAATGTTTATTTTTAAGTAAACGACATTTTTAAATGTATACGTCTTCAATCAAAAATAATATAGGCTAATACTCAAGTGTATTATACGAGTGTACTGGACAAGAGATAATTTTACCCTTTACTCCAGTTTTTTGTAATGAAACCAGCGGTAAAATAGATATTTGTGTACCAAGGCTGTGTTTTGGCCGAATTAGACATATGCGTTCAAGTCTAAGCTAGATCTGGTTAAGTATAAGAGTAATAGACAAGAAACGGGTGTTCAATCAAACTTGACATCGAGATAGATGTCACATCAGGTGCGTTTTAATCATCCGCTTCTGCTTCCGGAATTGTCGGTTTAGTCGTTTTAACCTGTCAGATTAAAACAAGAAAACTGACAATTCCGAAGCAGAAGCGGATATTTAAAACGCACCTATAAGCAGGTGTACTAAAGATGAACTTTGCAGGACCAAGCATCAGATAGGTATAACACTTGATATTCTGAAAACTATGTGAATACTACACTGAATAAGAACGAATGGAAGTGTCAGAAGGAGGCTAAAGGCAAAAAATAGACGGAACAGAGCCTAATAGATAGATAAGTAATATTTTAGCCAGGAGAGAGTTGATGAGTGTTATAAATATAGTTAATTTATGAATATATTTTTAATGTATAATTTCAGTTTATTTTCATTTTTGGTATAAAACTATGGCTGACATAATAAAACTCTTAAAAGTATATATATTTGCAATCTTTATTACTATACATTATTTAGTATTCATTTATTCTCTCTGACCTAGGGAAAAGGTCAGAAAACTCTGGTCATAATTGTTTACAATGTTGCGTGTTCCTAATGATACAAAACATTACAGAGGAATGATAGCCGATGAAATCTCATTGAGTTCACGCATGACATATTGTGGTATGGAATATGGCTATCTCTGATGCATCTGCAGATTTAAATTTATTTTTGCGTACTGTTTTCTATCAACTGATACCCCAAATTTATACAAGCCATGTCTTCGCACCACAATGTGACATGGCATCAAATCTGCTTAATCTCGTACCATTTTTTTTAAGTATCAAGGATATTCTTGGTGTATCTGATCATCATGTTTCGAGTCATTGAACCTAAAAAATAACAAATATCAATAAATAGAATTCGGAATTTATTCCAAAAATATTTTTCTTTGGGAATTATATAGGATTTCTCGTTAATATACTGACAAACTTTTAAAGGTGGTAGGTGCATCAAAATAAACATTTTTTTGCTTATTAAAATAAAAATAATTTTATTGCCCAACAAATTAATCCATTTACATAACAAAATACATGAAATAAATGTTAAACATAATATTTCGACAGAAAATAATTTTAGCAACAGCAAGAAAAAAAAAGAAAAGAAATAATCCTAAATACATTAGCTACAAATTAGTACAACTAATGGTCGAAATAAATATCCCAATCAGAACAAAATTAATTAAAATTTTAGCACATTAGCGTTATAGGTGAATTTCTTCCCAAGTTCGTTCAAATACTTGCTGTATAAAATGTTTTATGATATCTAATGGCTGTTTGGGGAACATTAAAATTTATTTAATTTATCAAAAATAGTACATCAATAGAGTTATGTAATATTTTATAAAAAAATGTAACACTGGAAACTACCCTTCTTCTTTCGAAAGAAGCAGAGATTCTTCAATACCTCGAATTGGATACAGCTCATCTATTTTAAAAGAAAGGTACTTAAGAGATCGCCGCTGAACATTTTCCAATGATCTTTTATGAATATTGTAAATAAGGTTCCAGACAAGAGATGCATATTCTGGCCTGGAACGAACTAAAGAAAAGTAAGGATCTCCAAGCTTTAAAAGTTTGTAAAAAAACGAGTATTACGAATTAAGAACCCTAAGCTTTTCAACGCAGAAGCAACCTCGGAAGCAACGGTATTTTCAATATAATCCGAAAAAGTAACTTTTTGGTTGAATAATATACCTTAATCTTCAATTTGTGCCACAAGTCCGATAAAGGTAGGCTGTTAAATAAATAATCAAACTCCACCTTGTTATTACTTCTAGTATAGGAACATACTTTACATTTAGACACATTCATAAATAGCTTGTTTTCATTACACCAATTTTCAACGATTCCCAAGTTGGGTCTGTAAAAAGTAACAGTCTTGAATTGATGAGATTGAGGTAAATATTTTTAAGTCAGCAGCGAACAGCAGGTTAAATTTATTGCCAAGTCATTTATAAATATACCAAATAATAGTGGCCCCAGATTGGAGCTCTGTGGAACTCCAGATGTTGCTGTGAGGGGTGAAGATGAAAATCCGTTGTAAAAGACATAATTAAAACGATGATTTAGGTAAGATGAAAATAATCTCAACAGCGACTGATCAAACCCTAAGCTTTCCAACTTCCTTGCAAGAATATTATGATTTTGAATTATTACAAAATACATTATGGGCAGGTTGTACAAAAAATATTCTAAACATATTTTAACTAACAAGAGTTTTATTTTTAACTAGTTATATTCAAAAACAAATGTCATTTTTAAAACTATGTTTAACAATAACCGATGAGTATACAACAAGGTTCACAGTTTAAACTAAGTCTACATTTTAACTGCCTATTGTACAACTCGCCATATGTACAATTAAAAATTAATTGTATTTCTCTAAAATGCACCTTATTATGTTGATCAAAACCATTTGATAAAAAAATTAAAAAATATTGGTATAAAGGTGGTTTTTATATCTATGCTATAAAGCATGCATTGGGGTAGCATGTAGATTATCTAAGTATCAGGTCAGAGAGATTAAAATTAAATAACATATGTAGTGGGATTCTCATCTTTTGAGTACGTCTCCTATCGAGACTCCTATCTTTGTTCGACAGACAGCGATTTTGATGTAATGTCTCTCTCTATTCTGTATATAATGTGTCGAGTTGGCACAAAAGAATCGCTGTTCTGATCAGAAGAAATTAACCACATCAAAGGAAGAAAATTAGGTCCCCTGTTATTTTTAATTTATATTAATGATTGTTAATGTTGCAATAATTAATATGACATTTACCTGTTTGCCTTTGATGTCCTTATCTATGTTTCTTGTAAGTTGTAAGGATTCAGATAACTAAGAGTTAATTGTCAATGAAACTTTGCAAAATGTTTATAAATGATGTTGCAATCATTTGTTAAAAATCAACACAAATACCTAAAACAAAATATAAGCTGATAAGTAATAACTATATGCAGTTTGTGGACAAACAATATAAGAAATTGGAAGAAAATCTATACAGTTAGTAGAAAAATTTAAATATTTAAGGGTAATTAGTCAGAAACAGATGAAATTCACAGACCATATGCAAATACTGTTATCAAAACAATTGCAGTTAAATTACATTTCCTATTTAGAATCATAGAATGTTATTAAAATAATTGTTATATTATTACATTATTTTTTACTAAATTTTAATATTGTGATATTAGCAAACTAGCCAAATAAAGAAAATAAAAATAAAATAAAAACCAAAAACATACCTGGATCTACAATAATATAATATATAAATAATATAAGTACATTGCATCTTTTAAATGATTAAAGTCCATTAAATTGAAATGACACGTCAAACCATAAACGTCAAACTTTCAAAACAAACATGCTTGTGTTCCAAACAGAAAATAGCATTTATAGAATAATTTATTTACTCGTAACCTTTCCCCACACACCACCTCGCCCCTCACCCATAAACATGGTCAAATTCGGCTAAGCCATTTTACATTCGTCTGCATAGGGAGCGATGTTGCAATTTTTCAATTTTAGTGTCTATTCCGTCTGTTCAGATGGCAGCATCTTATGGGCCCTACATTTTTAAATCTTATCACAAGAATCCTGAAATAATTAGGCAAAAATAAAAGAATGTATGTTGCGTTTTAACTTTTAAATACTATAAAAAATGATGGAAAGTCCATAACTTTTAAATATTTGTTAAATATCACTTATTAAAATATTTTGCATTAAAAGTAAAACAAACCATAGACTTTCCATCATTTTTTACAGTTTTTTGAACCCATTTATGAAAACAGTTTTTGAAAATATTATCGTTCAGAGCTGTATTTCTTGTGATAAAAAAGTCGCCGTCACTTGTCATTGATCTTGGTCTTAATAATTTATTTTTGTTCAATTTTCCGGATATAGGGATCCGTCAATATTTAAATACTTTTCAGTTTTAATAGTTTATTTTTAAAGAATAGATTTTCCGAATGCAGGGAGCCGTTCATATATAATTACCGTTGTATTTATTTTTTGTAAATATATATTTTAGTACCTATTGCTGTGTTTCTCTTATTACTGGTTCTTAACCGTTCTCTTTCAGGGTACCGTAGGGTACGAGGTAGAAAGAAGATAAGTGTTTTAGTTTTATTTACTTAGTTTAGTGATTACCTAGCAGTGACCGTCTGGAATTATTTTACCTCCACTGAGTTTACCTTAAGTGCACTGTGGTGTACTACAGGGTCTCAGAGCAAACTGCGCTACCAAAACTGGCGACTGAGCAACCCCTATTCGGGAATCACCATTATAGCGCCATACAGACTTGCTGATTCACTGTAGGTGAACCAGAAGCCTGTCACAAATTCAAAAATCAGAAATAAACACGGAAAAACTTTGGTGTCACCAAAATGCTAAACACCAAAATAATGGCACAGATTACTACTTGTACTCGATATACTTGTTGCGCGTCCTCTCTTTATTATCTAGTCTAAGGTATATAGACGAAAATTATTGTTTGTTGTGTTTGGATGACGATTAACAAAATCCATAATTATAAAGTACTGTAAATAAACGGCTATTTATGTATTTTATAATTTATTTTCCTTTTAGATTTGGGCTGAAATGAATGTTGAAAAGGCCAGCGAGAAAAGTATTAGAATAACGGCGTTGGATGCAAACGGCGAAATAAAAGTTTTTCTCTTAATGGTGAGTCAAGTAATTATTCTGTTTGAAATAAATAAAAACCTCTTTTTTCTGTTTATATTTCAGAGTAACATTGAAGATTCGAACAGACTATACTCGCATTTGCAAACGAGACTCGAGAGGCTGGAAACCGCCAATCAGAAACGTAAAAAATTGGAAAACTCCACGTCTTCGACGAGCAACTGATTTACAGTACACACAACTATTTAATAATAATAATAATAATCATCAAAACATTTGAGTTCAACAATTTAATACTTACCGTGACTACACGCGTTCGTAAATAGAAAAAAAAAAAAACTGAAATAGAGTGACGAATTGACGATTTTAATAATTGATACAATAACAATAGTGATAGTGGGGCGCTTTTATTTTTAGTGTGTTTAAGATTTAAAATGTTCATTCCGAATATGGAGGTACCTATCCTGTTTTATTTAGCCCTACATCCAAGTTAAATATACCGATACAGGGCAGTAAAATGACGTTTTAACACGTCGAACGCCGACTCTACTGCAAATTTTGTATTCTTTATAACTTTTTTTTTACAATAATTGTTTCTGTTTAATAAATGGTAAAAATTTGATCAATATTGAAGTCGGATTCGTAATTAATTTTTATTTAATGATATTGATCTAATTTATTCTAAACATTTTTTGAAATGTGCTGTATTCAGGATGGAAAGATGTATAAAAAACATGTAATAAAAAATTCCAAATGCGTATTTAAATTAATTTACCAGTTAAATTTATTTAACAGTCGTGTTCTTAACTTGATAGGAGACGGACATCGTATACGAACCGGTCGTTATCAAGTGTGCTGAACAAAAGAAGTGTGGATTACCTTTAAAAACTTAAGTATTTTATTTTAATTTTTAATAATATTAGAATTATCCTGATTCTTTCGGGGCGTTCTACTTAAACAAATATGGATCGCCCGAAAATAATAATTCTAATAATTTGATAAACGCAGACATTCAGAAAACATTTGATTTAAATAATCTTTATCAAAAAACGGATACTGGGCCATATTTTGTTTATTTAGAACACCAAGAAAAAAATATCGGGAGGCTTTTTCCGATTAGAATAGGTCACTTTTTGCGGGAAGTGCCTGAATTTCAACAAAACATCACAGACATAAAACCTATAGGATTAAACAGAGCAGGTTGATTCTCACTATACGCTCCATTTCTGTTCCGTAACCATTACCATTACAACCAGTAAATTCGGTCGTATGCACACTTTTCCGTCCGTGGTAGTCAGTTACTGATGTAAATTAATAGTGTGTGATTATGTTGATATAGAAATGAGCTTAAAATGTGGTCTGAAGAAAACTTAATTATAGCGGCTATTATATTGGATGAAGAAGCTCACTCGAAAAAAACAAAACGACGATTTTGGGTACATGACATGTTAAAAAAGAGAAATATTGAAGGAGAATATATTACGTTATATAAAGAACTAGATGATGACACCAAGTTTTTCCAATATTTACGCATGTCAAAATACAAGTTTTATGAATTACTGTCCAACATCGAACCTGTAATAAAGAAAAAAATACCAAATTTAGGGAATCGATATCAGCGAAACATACACTGTGCGTCTGTTTAAAGTAAGTAAGTTTATTTTTATGAAATATACGAACAAACAAACAGTAGTCTTAAACATGAGAACTTAATTGTTGTCACAATGTCCATCATTATAGGAAAATGTTGCTAGGTATGATGCAGCTGTGGAAACTGAAGGAGCAGGAGATGGCGAAGGCGAACTCACATATCTAAGCTGATTAGAAGGAACGTCATTTCGGAAACCATAATTGCTGTTATTTGGATATTGCTGTTTAGAATGTTCTTGTGGCCGACCCTGCGTTTGTAAAAACTGTTCTAATTCCAGTTCTTGCACTAAAGTAAAGATTCTACTTTCAGCGATATTTCGATAATATGAATCGCCTAATTTTTTCAGCAATACTTTCACAAAAGAAATCTGTTGGATCTTTTGCTGCAGAGCGACTAGCTTCTTCTCTTTGTTGCTTTTCAATAAGGTAATTCATTAATTGTGAAGAAGCAGGTTCATCTTTTTTTAGTTTGGATAATTGTTTTATATTTGAAGAAAATCGCTGCTTTTTTAGAGTAGGGGTAAATTCGGTTGCAGTAGCATGTATCCTTGTAGCTTCTGATGTGTTTCCATCACTTTCAGTAACAGTGGTATTTTCTTGGGCCTCAGTAACAGCGGTATTTTCCTGTGTCTCAGGTTCATCTTCCTCTATGTCATTAGGGTCGTTAAGATTGCCAATTGTTTCCCTTTGGCGCACAAATGGTTCCAAAAAAGACATTTGTTCTTCATATCGCCACTTCCTTACTGGCTTATTGGCTTGTCCCGATTTCGTTACATGATTTTTTTTATTTTTTCGCCACTGGTCTCTTAGCTGATTCCATCTACTTTTGCATGTTGAACCTGTAATGAAAAAAATATGAAATATGTATAGGAATAATGGCAAATTCGATATACATATATGTTATATCTTGAATAACACAATTAGATTTTTAAAAAATATTTTATTACTTAAAAGGTATAATGTGTTTGTTGTAGGTGAGTTGTTATAACTGACTGACTTTTAATGTGTCACCCCTATTTATAATATAGGTAAAACAAAGGAAATATCTAAAAGGTGTAATGTGACAAAAGTGTTGCATTTACAAGAAAATGCAACTTGGCTGAATACAATCCTAGAGGTCAATGATAACTATTCTAGGAATTGCAACTAAGCATTATTTAACTCTAGAGAATTTACTATTAAATAATATATAGAGTGAATTTTTTATATAACAACTCTCCTTTACAAAAAAAATTGATGTTATACAGCAATTTTTGAAAGAAAAAAAATATAAAAATAAAATAAAGTTAGTATTTAAATAAGACAAAGACTATAGAAAATAAGAAGTAAAATAATAAAATTAAAAGATTTTTAACGTAATCAAAAAAGTTCAATATTCTGTGTTTCGTCTATTTTAACGGTGCCCTCTTCAGATAAATTGGGTCTTTTCTTCGGAGGGTCCTTTTGTGGTGTTGGTGTTGTTGGTTTTCGATGTTTCCAAAACTGGTAAAGCAGGTATAGGACTGCCAGTCCTATGATGAAACAAATGGTACAGTACGTGAACCAAGAAATGTTTTTCTTCACGAAGGGTTTATTGATGAGGTCGTCAATTTCTTTTGAGTACTGGTCCAATTGATTTTTGGTGACTGCTAAATCGTCTACGTTAAGATTTGCCAATTGTAGTGGTTTTAAATTGGGAATTGGCAGATTTGGAATATCATCACAACATTCAAAGTCTATTGACACGGGTTCGGGATCGTACACGATATTAGAAAGTTTTTTTGAACCGGTCTGCACTTTTGTTACCCCGATAAAAGCGAAACAACCTGATTGCAAGGTAAATATTGAGTTCTTAAGAATTGAGATTGTCTTTAGATTGGAATTTTCACAGTTTATTGTTACTTTCACTGGTTCGGCAATTAACACTAAACACGTATTTTCCTTAAGTTTTTGAACATTGTAGCCTTGTCCGTAAAACACAGTGTTTTCACAATTTTCCGGTAATGATTTATAGTTCCGAAATAGTCGTGCCTCGCATATGGCGTTGTCATCTATTGGGAACGAGTATAGATCACTGCACAGTTTTTTAAATGGTCCTAAAGGTTTGCACTGGTGCAGATTCTTGACGGGGATGTACGTTAAGGCATCATCGTCTCTCGCTAAATATCTTTGTGAAACAGTCAAAATATGATGAAGGCCTGGGCTGGAACTCTGTGTCATGTAGAATTCTACTTATCGCTTTCTACAATAGATTCTTTTGTGGCACTCTGTGTAACATAGCGGAAAACCAACGAGTATATAGTTACTACAGGATAACTAGTTTCATAAGAAACCACATTGCGATATTTCCCGTGCGGTTGATAACGTATTTATCACAAAAGAAAGTAATCGATTCCATTGTAGAAAGCGATAAGTAGAATTCTACATGACACAGAGTTCCAGCCCTGTTCTATTATCATAAATCGGAATGGGATATAAATGGAAGAGAGTAAAAATATGTTGCTCTATTAAGGGTATTTTGAGAACGAAAACGAGGTCTGTATTGGTTTGATAAGCTTCTATTTTAATTATTTCTAAATATTGAGCTAATTTTGAATGAGTAATAGGCAATGGTAAATTATTGTGTTCTAAGTTTTGAGAAATTATTTTTAAGGATGAAATTAATTCTTCAGGTTCGATTATTGTAGTATGCAGAATTTTTAAACGTGCAAATGTTACTGAATTCACTATGTCAGTTATTATATTTTCAAGAAACGCATAGCTTTCAAAAAGTTTTTCGCAAATTTCAAAGAATTTCAATTTCGATTCGAGATAATTAATTTCGTTTGCCGATTGGTAGACAGCCTTTCGTATATTTACAATATCCTTATTTAAAATATTTTCGTTTAATTTAATTTGACTTATACTAGAATTAAAACTTTTAATTACTGATTGAGTAACGGAAATTTGTTTTTTCAATAAATTTTCGATTTTGTTTTGATCGTTTTTAATTTCATTAATGCAATTAGAATAGTACTCTCCATCAGAGGCGTCAAGATTTCCAGTTATTGACTTAAAAATAGTACCAATACCATTTATTAAACCACGCTTTTGACGTTTAATATCGAATGTTATTTGACTGAATTTGTCTTTAATAGATTTTGAAACTTGAAGTAATAGTGAAAGTTGATTTTTAATTTCCAAATGAAAGTTAGTTACAGGGTGGTCACCGCGAGGTCGAATAGAATTTTTTAGTAATTCTAAAATTTTATTATTTGACTCAAATATATTTTTAAGATCCGAAATGTTTTTATGTACCAATAGTGTCCAATCGTCGTTAGTAACAATTATTCTTGTTTCGTCATGGTAGTAGACTCCTACAGTATTATTTATAGGGTTGATCGTGAATTGGGAAACTGCTGTTCCGATCAGCAGTAGAATCCTGAAAAAAGATTAATTTTCAAAGTAGGGTTTTAATAAATCAAAGTTAAATTATGATTTTTGTTTCGTTTCCAAATTTCGAAAGGTCCATTAAATTTGTTTTGTAGTTTATTCTTAATCTGCGTTTCTTTCACATACACTTTATCTCCGACTTTGTAGTCTGGAATTTTACTGGAGACATGTTTATCAAAACGGATTTTTGCATTTTCTTTTTTTTCAAGAGTTTTAGCTCGAGCTAATTTATAGTAGTACGAAATGCGATTATTTAATTCTCGAATATATTTAGTGATTAGTTCTTGTTCGTTATATAATTTTTCGGGTGGTCTACTAGAAGTATGGCCAAATATTAATTCGTATGGGGTAAAACCATGCGTTTTATTTGTAGAATTATTATAACTAATTACGGCAAATGGTAATATATTGAATGGATGTTCTGTAGGGTTTTCTGCCACATGTACCCTTATCATTTCAAGTAAAGTTGCGTGAAATCGTTCAACAGACCCATTTGACTGTGGATGACTTACGCTTGAATGCGTTATTTTTATATCAAATAATTTGCAAAGGTCTCTAAGTAAAGAGTTATCAAATTCCCTACCCGAATCGCAATGAATTCTTAGGGGTGTTCCAAAGTGTTGAAAATAAACTAATAGGGTATTTACAACAGATTTAGCTGATTTATCCGGAATAGGATAAACTTGTGAAAATTTTGTTAGTTCGTCTCGAATTGTAAGGGCATAGTTTTTTGTTGGTACTTCTAAAAGGTCTATATTTATGCGTTCGAAAGGCGTTTTAGGTGTTTCAGTAATTACGAGTGGATTGTC